AAAATTTTGGGGCGTACTGGGTAGGTAGAATAGTGTCACAGGACCGTGTTATACGATAAGGACGGCTTTCGGCGACTAAGTGAATACTAACATAGTAATATGAGATGAATTCACCCTATTTCGTCTAAGGTGATGAAGGACTGGTAGTAAAATTTTCCCACAATGATATAAGTTGAGCTGACGTTTCCATTGAATTTCACATAGCCTGGATGAGAACAACTTTTGGGAAAGCAAGGCTATGTGAAATTCAATGGGACGTCAGCTCAACTCATATCATTGTGGGGAAATTCTGCTACCAGTCCTTTATCAGCTTAGACAAAATAGGGTGAATAAATCTCATATTATGGATTTACTGGTATTCTCGAAACTCTACTCCAATACGAAAATAACATAGTAATTTGGTATATGAATCCCAATGACTTTGCGTGGCGCTCTAGGCCGGCTTTTAACGTGGCGAGGCAGCACAAGAAGATCTATTTTGTTCAGAATAGCTTGTCTATCCGCCCGAGGAAATTCTAACAATCAGGCGCTCTGCAAAGCGACCGGAAAGTTCGAGTGGACTTCATCAAGCCCTCTTAGCAACACACACTTAAAGATTGTCAACCGGTATTTGGGATCAACTTCAGAGGCGAACCCACCTGTCGATCCGTCAAGTCTAAATTGACAAGCGCATAATTTATGTCGAGGAGACCTGTCGGTTCAACGAAAGCGCTTCACAACACTCGCCCCATAATGAGAGATAAAAGGACAGAAGTGGGCGGAAGATGGGAGAAGAGGATGGCTCGAAAGGTAGTCAGATATGCAAAAGTCCACAAGACAGAGGATCGGGTTGCAGATATTGTGAAAAGTAAATGAGGCAATCTTTGACATTTTGTTCTTCCTCTTCACACACGATGGAGAGGCTGTGAAGAATGAGCAGCCCGGCCCGAGTCGACCATGCAAAAGGATTCTTGCCTCTACTTCTGCCCATACTGTATCTCCCTTCCTGTCTACACTCACAGTTCTCCCACTTTGCCCCAATGCCCATTGCTGAGCTCTTCTGCCTCGGCTCTAAGTGGCAACCCACGCCTCGTCAACATCTTCAGAAGCAATCACACTTGGGAGCTTCGTTGTCTAGGGAATACGAAACGAAGGCCAGACGGACCGGGCTTGATGGACACAAGGTATGCTCTGCAGGTGAGGTGGGAAATTAAAACACGTCAAAGACTGCCAGCTAGTCCCTTGAGGTGGACCAGATTGGCGCATATGCGAAGAAAAATGGGCTTTCCAAGAATCTCCTAGTTCATACCTATTGAGCTCACTATCATTTCAAGTGAAAGTATGCGTGTGTGTGTGTGTGTATGAGGAAGAGATTTGAAGGTGAATCCAACCGGAAGACGACGGTGGATTCCTTTCGGACCACATTCGGTCGGCTCTACCGACGCCCTCTTGCGGACATCGTACTTGTTCTCATTGACTTGAGCACTCATTGCTGCTTGCGTACGGATACACACACTCGAAGACATATAAGCACATACACACAAACATGGCTCCAGAGTGACATGCAATTTGGGTTATTCAAATCATCAAGATGATGTTGCCCATCATAGTATGGACGAAAATCTTGCATGTTTTCACCAAAATCGAAAAAGGTTTAACAACAATGCTCTAGAAACGCCAACCGACGGCTGACCACGAGGAATACGCTTCGTCTTCACGTCTCTTTATCACATACGCATACAATCCGTCGAAATGGAGGTGAGCCCAGCATAATGAATTAGCCCAAAGGGAGCAGAATCTGCGGCCACCGAATATGTCAGGCGACGTATTTCACAATAACGATGCTCACCTCGTATTGTTCTTGGTGTTACAAAGCAGGCTTTGCTATTCCACCACACGGACACACATTTCGAGAGTCATTGGGCCATAAAAAGGGAGTTGAATCTTACCAGCATCCATGTCTAGTTGAACTGATGTCGACAAGGCAATTTTTCTCTAATATTCAATATGCTTCCAGTAACATAGCATAATTTAATGAAAAATACGTGGCACAATGGCATACACAACCCGGTTTCGAGTCACAATGACAGTGCATATGAGAAGCAGCTCAGTGCAAAGTGAGCAATCCAACTCGCAGGCCTTCAATAATCGAAAACAACCTGAGCTTGACATGATCTTATATTATTCCCAAACGGAT